ATATGTCATTATTTATTTACGATCAGTAGTTACAATTCCAATTTTCAAGTTCCTACCCTTAAAAAAATCGAAATCCCCTACAAACTTTCACCACCACCCCATTTCCCCCCTTAAGGCCTCTACTTCTGCATTGAAAATGTCCTAAGTTGATATAGACTTTTGTTCCTTTATCTCAGCGTTAAACATAAAATATACAATTAAATCATTGACTTCTAATTTCCATCCTGTTCGTTGCATTAACAAGAATATTGACTTGGCGAGGATTAAGAACATCCCTATTTAGATATCATAATCCGTAATTAAAATTTTAAACAAAAACTTATAACTTATCTAGATATATTCAGCTGCAACAGGATGAATGTAGATATAAAGACGCAAAAATGTCTATATTTATTCCCAATTTATTAGGTACTTTAATATATAACTGCATCAGGACATGATGGAATGTCAGTAAAAATATTTCAAAACTTACCTACCTCTGTATTAGACGTTTTATCCATTTTAATAAATAAAAGTTTTATTGAAGGCACTTTTCCTCCTTTTCTTAAAACAAGTGTTGTGGTTCCATTATATAAGGGAGGAGACTTGACTGAGCCATCTAATTTTAGGCCCATATCTCTAATTCCGACACTCGGAAAAATTATTGAGAAACTTGTAAAAACTCGACTAGTTAGATATTTAGACCAAAATAATATATTGGACATAAATCAATTCGGTTTTCAACACAACAAAAACGTATCGGACGCTGTTTCTTCTTGTTTGGAATTAGCTTATACAAGTTTAAATTTCAACGAGGCCGTAGCTGCAGTATTTTGTGATCTGACTAAAGTTTCTGACTGTGTCAACCATGGAGTACTGCTGCAAAAGCTTGAAATTTATGGCATAAGAGATGTGGCCTTGAGTTGGATGAAATCCTACCTTTTAGGTCGCAAACCGTTAGTCCGAACTGTTTCAGACTCGAACACAAGTGATATAAAATGGGGTGTCCCTCAAGGTTCTGTTCTTGGGCCCACCCTGTTTTTAATTTATATCAATGATTTAGGTAAGTTAAATATCTCAGGAAGTTTCACTCTATTTGCTGACGATACTACTATCTTGTGGCACAATAAAGACGTCAATATTCTTTATGCAAATATTAGTAATGACCTAAAATCCTTTAAAACATGGTGCACTGCAAATTTTCTGTCATTAAATTTTAAAAAAACAAAAATACTAACCTTTAAATGTAATGTTCCTGATATTTTAATAGATATGGATACTGTCTGTACAAAATTTTTGGGTTTAAATATCGACATGGATTTGAAATTCAAATCTCATGTGGATTCACTTTTAAAAAAACTCGCATCGGGTTGTTATGCCATTAGAACCACCTCTCATGAATTGGGAGTTTGTGCAGCAAAAACTGCATATTATGCGTTAGTTGACTCCCATCTACGTTATGCTGTTCAGTTTTGGGGAGTCTGTTCTGCCGAGTCTTTATAATGCAGAAACGGGCAATAAGGTTCTTATGTGGAGCACACAGATTAGTTTCATGCAGACCGCTGTTCTTAAAACAAGAAATATTAACATTAACATCTCTATTTATCTTAGAAACTTGTTGCATGATCCATATGAACAAGTCGAAATATAAATCGAATACATCCCGTGTAACTCGCCAAACGGGTAACTTGAAGTTGCCTATTCCCAAAACTGAACTAATAAGAGACTCTTTTATATACAATGGTATCAAAATGTACAATAGGCTATCACATACGTTGACAGATGTTGAGTCACAGAATTGTTTTAGAAAGCTGCTCAAGAGATTTTTGTTAACTAGGCCTTATTATAATATTATAGAATTTTATAATGACGAGACACTGTGATATGTGTTTTATTTTGTTTTATTTTATTTTAGATGTATTAATGTTAATTTATAATAATGTTTGTTTATATTTTAATGACTATTTATTTATTTGTAATTTGTATACTATTTGTACAATATTGTTATAATAATTTATCTATGTTTATAATTGCATTTTGTTTATTATAAAAATATGTAAATTAAGCTTGGTATCACTTACTTGAATTCTAAATCTATGAAGTTTCGTAATCCATTGATTCTGCAGAACTATCACTGGAATCGTCTTTATCGTCGGAACTTAAAGTTATGACTAAAGGTTTAACTACCGTTTCGATCATACCGTCCAAGCGCCACATATTATGTTCTTCCTTAATTACATGGGAAATAGCATTCTGCCAATCTTCAGGTTTTATACGTTCTATTCCGGTTTTTAATAAACTTCTAACGTCGGCTATTTTAAAAGTTTTATTTTCTCGAGCTACAAACTAGTTCAATAGGATTGAATTCGCAGTGATAAGGGGGAAGTCTTAGTACCGTAATACCACGATCACGAGCCATTGTGTCGACAACATATTGAATATATTTATGGTGGTGTTCCTTTATTAGGTCCATTAATTCCACTTTAAGCATCTCCTCTGTAAATGTTACTGCTTTATCCCGCAGCCAGATTTGCATATCTGCTTTCTAACTGGACATTATCGGAATGCGTTCAACTTGTCGACTGTGATGAGAAGCGTTATCTAGTACAATAACTGAATTTCGTTCTACACGCTGTAATACCTAAGTAAACCATTTTTCAAAGCATTCTGCATTCATGTCCTCGTGGTAGTCTCTTGTTTTTTTTTTTCGATATAAACACAAAAGCGTTATTTTCCAAAAATCCACTGTCACTTCCTATATGGGTAACAATTAGGCGCTTTCCTATACCTGTTGGTGCTTTCAAACCTGTAGATACTCCCTCTATAAAGGCTTGGCGATGACTAGTTACAGAAGTATCTTGCCATATCTTAGATACCGTGCGTGCAGTATTCACCCACGTTTCATCGAGATAGTATATCTTTTTTTTTGCGGCTCTAAACTCTTTAATATTTCGTAAATAATGCCGTCGCCAGGACACTATATCTGACCTCTCAATTAAAATTGATTTGCTACACCGTTTGACAAAATGAAATTTTAGGCCCCATAAAATTTTTCGTAAGTTTCACAGCTCATTATTCTTCGTTTTCTCTTAATTTCGTAAGAACAACTTTAAGTGGTGGGGCTTTGTTTTCGAAAAAAAAAAGACTGTACAGTTCTTCGAATGATTTGTTTTTGGTTATCGTCCAATTTCAACAATTTTCGACCACGGGTATGCGTTTTAGGGGCTTCTAAGGAGCCTTTTTTTGTCTTTTCGCGTACAATACGTTCAATTGTTGAAACAGATACTCCAGTTAAAAAAGAACTGCGGTTTACAGCTTCATTTATAGGAAGTGTCTGTTTCAGCCCATCATACACTTTCCATTAATGTTCTTTTCATCCTTTGATAAGGGCTTTCGCCGACGTAATGGGTTTCACTTGGACCCGCCTCTGAATTCATTACCTATTGTAACAATATAATTCTACTATTAAATTGTTTTTATTAAATTTATAAAGACACCAATATTTTACTATTTAATAAACTTTTAAAGTACCTACCTAAAATATTAAACAATAAATACAACTCCTCTAATATGCACTACCACTACCAAATTGTAAGGCACAAACATGAACACCTACTCGTATATCAGAAAAGAGCACTTATACAAAAAAGTGTTTATAAAATATAAAATAATTATCGTAAATAGTTAAAGCGATACAAATCTAACTTCGTCGAAAGTTAGTTTTCAACTGTCTTTGTGCCTGTGCTGACAATATTCAATCTGTAACCCGTCTGTCGTTTATTTACATGAAACACATTTTAAAACCATTAAACACAGATAACGAAGTCATTAGGGAATAAATATATTTATTTCTTGAAAACTATCAAAAACGTATATTTAACGCATCATCTTTGTTTAAATAAAGATGTTGACAAACAAATTTAATAAAGTTTACTAACAAATACCTAATAAATAATAAATAATAATTTGGTATTTGATACGCCGCCTATGCTAACTCTGTCGGAATTTTCATTTATAGACAACAGTGTTGATCATGCATATGACTCACCTTCTCCAATATTTTGTCCGAGTATAATATTGATATTTGGCCGTTTCTACAACAAGAAATCAGTGAAAATGGTTTATTTTACATTTGTTTTATGATGGAGGCCCGACAACAAATTTTAAAGATTTTAAGGTAAAAAAAATTTCTAGTGTCAGCGGACCCAAAGGTGTTATGTATAGTGTGTTTCTAAGTGTCCAGAAACTTTCTATCAAATTTCAATAATAACATCCGCCGTTGGAGTGCCGGCGTATTATTTGTTTAAATTCAGTACACACCATTTATTAACAATCTCAAGTGAATTTCTAAGAACTATGCTCGGTTTTGGGCCAATTTTTTCTAGTTGAAACACCTATAGTAACCATCATTCAACGTAATCTGGGTTAACTTGTATTAGATATGTGCGATTCGATACGGTATTTGACAGTATCGATATTCAGGAGTTCGAAAATCGATATTTTGTATCGATATTCTACGACTTAAAGATACTCCGTATCGATACATGTATATGTTTAATTGTATCGAAAATTAAATAACACGTATGCATCACTAATTACGAAATTAAACTCTGCCATCTATGGATAAGATGCTAAACATACATGAGTTCGGTTGAAATATTGTATATTTTTTTAAATTATACAACTTAAAATCTATTTATACTTCCTTATATGATTTTTCACTTCAATATTTTAAAATAAATTTACTTTTACTATGTATATTAGTATACCATTTCGATATTTTGAGTATTGATACTGTTGCTAACGATATTAAAGTGTATCGATACATTAAACTTAGATATGAATCGATACGCAGTATCGATACTTTTCTATGTATTGAACATCTCTTCTTGTGATATTTTTCTTCTTTTTACTTATCTGCGTGGCCTCTTATTTATTTAGCTTTATTTCTGTTAAATGTATACAATTATGCGTATCCTTATTGTTGATTTAACAAAAATTAACATTGATGTTGTTCGTAGATGGCGTCTTTAGTCATAAAATCCGTAAAGAAACGCGCTAGCGAATCGTACGCATCCAATTGGTTGGAAAGATTGAGAAAGATAAAAAGCATAAGGAGTAAAGTGATTCATGACCAAATGAACATCGAAAGCATTTATCCCTCGGACGATGGAAGGAAAAATTATGTGGAAGATTTTACTGATTATACATAAAAATGTATTTTTTTAATAATTAATTGTATGTTTTCGTTGTAGATTTTAAATATTTTTTAACTATGGGTATTTAAGCAGGTATTTTTGATTTAATATTATTACTTTCTGACTATACCTATTATATATCATATTATTGTCGAGTTGCATAGAAATTATCAGAATAAATTTATGAATCATATTAAATTGTCATTTTGAATGATAAAAAACCGAGGACAACCGGTATATAATTATTATTTTGGAAAAATTTTACTTGCTTATTAATTAAAAAAAAAAAAATGTTTAAAATTATGTCTGGTCTGTTGTTGGTTATTATTAATAATAGAAAATTCTATTCGACTCATTTATATACACAAATAATTTGTATTGTGACGTTATTTATTGTAATAATTAATTTCTTTTGTATCAAATACAAATTTTGTTTTATTTTCCAAAGCATGCTAAAATTCAATATAAATAAATATAAATCTTTCACCTTCGACCAACCCTGTATATTTAAATACAAATTTAAGATATACCAATAAATTTTTAGATTATTATATCCAATAAAAAAAATTGATGTGTCCATCAAATGACTTTCCTATCGTATCTTTTCCGGTTATTCTGTTCAACCTATTGTATCACCCCCGTAAACGTTTAGAGGGTGAACTAAATACATACATTTTCCATAAACATGTTACTCGAATATGTGTATTCATTGCCAACGAAAATACAGAAAAATTAAAATTTTACACTTTTTCTTAAATTTTTCCATTACGGTCCATTTTAGAGAAATCATGTATAGAACAAAAACAACTTTTATTTAAAGAATTTTCTTCTCCAATCGTAAATAACGGAGATATTCCTTAAAGTAAAACAAGTTTTTGTATAGACATATCAGTTAAAAACGATTCTTTATAACAAAATAAAGGATACTATATTTTGTCTGCGACCATTGCTAATATTGTAAAGTTTAATTCGACAAGCTGTACTAGGATTTTTCAACAACCAATGCTAATAAAGTAAATATTCATTCAACAAATCTCAATCAACAGAGAGAATACTAACAAGAATATGAAGAACTTCTATGCGATTACTTGTAACAAAGCATGATGATTGTCTTAAATTGTATGAATTACATTATTGTCAAAAGTTCAAGCCTATATCTTATCTTCTTGTTAGAATTCAGAGTTCTAAACATTTAAAAAAACTTTTTGTAGCAAAATTATGATGAATTTCCTAATTTACATAAAATGGTAGATACTTCCTCAGCATTTATTAAATAATTTTTCTATAGCAGCGTAGGTTAATAAAGCTAGTATAATACATTTAGGAAGGTACATTGATTGTATTAAAGAAATTTAAGAAAAGTCTAAAGATATCGAAGCTGGTTGATAATAGGTTAAGTGATTCCTTGATAGAGTACATCATTAAGCAACGTTTTAGAAATCAAATAATGACAAACAAGGTCCAAAGGCTACATAAAATACGAGATGCATCAAAGTCCTCAGCATTTATTACAAAATTAGATAAAATAACGTTAACAAGTTAGCAAGATTTGATACAAGAGTATGAAGGATGTCTTTGACAGTGTTAAATGGCAGAACCTTATTTTTTAACAATTAAAATCAAAATTAAAATATTGTTAAGCAGATATGATTCATTTTTTACCTGAAAGGTATTATGAATGTCTTTCGTACCCTAAGAAAAGTCTAAAGATATCAAAGCAGGTTCATTATAAGTAAATAAAACGATAGTTTCTCATTGTTGCTGTCAAACATTTGCAACGGCCATTAGCTTTTGCAGCAGCTATGGGTTTTGTTGGTATTATCGTCGCGAACGAAGGTTAGGTTAGAGGATACATGAGCAACATATTCACTGACTGTTTAAGTTGAATATTGCTTGTTTCATTCAAATCGGATCAGTAATAGCAGATATTAGGTTAGGAGGCCATACGTGCGTTCTCGTGAACGATAGTTAGGTTAGATAAGTGTACGAAAAGTTCAACTCGCAGGAACCTTCGAGCATTCGAAAACGTCATTTTCGTTTGATAGATGACATTGACACTATCTATGTCAAGCATACTTTAGATAAAACGTCGAAAACGACGTTTTTGAACGCTCGAAAGTTCCTGCGAGTTGAACTTCTTGTATGGGTTGTTTTATGAAAAAAAGTATCTATGAACATTATGTCCGGGGTTGCTTCATTTCTAAGATACAGGGCGTTAAAGTTAAAAAAAAAAATTGTGTATTTTGTAAATATCATAAATATCCTTAAACTGATTTGGTTGAAATTTGGTATGGTTATTTGAAGTAATAAGGTGCTTATTTAGCCATAACTAGATTAAAATTATTGGATCTAGTGGCGTCTCAGTGAGCCAATATTATTGATAAAAAAGTACGCTACTGACATTTTTGTAAATATTTGTATTTAGCAACTAAAAATTCAACTCTTTGGTATTTTGTGTTTTCTCTTCATATCCAGAATCGTTAAATTTTTTTTTTAATAATATCAAAAAAAAGCATCTTGTCCGTTTGTCTTAAACTTGGTACTTACTTTTTTACTCGTTATATTTCGAGCGTAATTAGATTTTACTTAATCATTTCAGAGGCATCTTGGAAGGCAACTGAGTTAAAATCTATTTTTTTTTTTCAGATTTAGAAAATTAACATTCAACTTAAACAAGAATTAAAAGTAATTTTAAAAAATCGACTTCAAAATCATACAGATGTTATCACCATATCTTAACCAAATTTATATGGGACCACCCCTGAGGTATCCCCTTACTAACAAAAAAATAATCTTAGAAATCGGACAAGGTGGTAAAAAATTATCGCGAAAATTCCACACCTGTAATTTTGAACCAATCAAAATACGTGTTTTTGACAGATCACCATGGCAACGGAGGTATTTTAGTGGAAATTTTTTTCTCGTGGGGTACCCAACAGCGAATTATACTGGAAATTTTTTGACGTTTACAATAACAGACCATTTTTGACAGACTGGTTTTTATTTGTTCACATAATAGGTTTAGTTTTGATACATTTTAGTTACAATGCTAAGGTGTTTTCTATATTCTTCGGCCACTTTTTTTCTTCTTAATGGCGAAAATGCAGGACTTTGGATGCTTTGAATTATGTGTCTATGTCTAATAAAATATATATAATATTTAGACACTAATTTATTCACCTTTTTCCCATTCAGCACTTTGAATTTTGCGTAGTTTAGGTGCAAATATTCGTGGACAATTCGGAACAAATTTTCGTTTTTCAAGTTGGAGCCACAATCCTCTATTAATCCGAGTAAGTAAGTCATGGTGCAATGATTGATCATTACATCAGACAATTTCACGCATATTTTGCATAGCGTATGATTTTCAAATCGATTCATTTTTAAACAAATATGTAATTTTGTTGGTTTTACTTGCTGTGCAATATTCTTTATCGCAACAAAACGCGAGTTATTTAATGTTTTGAACTGTCAAAATACAATGATCACAGCCTCCTACGATTGATGCTTGCTGACGCTGGTTATGAATTTCATACCATTTTAAAGCGCTCATAACGCATGTTAATAAAAACGCAGAAAAACAATTTTCTACCACTTGTATAGTTATTCAAAACTTACGTAAAATTAAAGAATATACTATTTTCTATTTTCAAATGGTATTCCCATGCAACTACAATTAGAAATAAGCAATTTGAAGGCCTAAATAATTGCAGCGAAACATTTTTTTACGTCGGGCCGCTTGACAACTTCAAAACTGAAATTATATTCGAGGTTAGGGTCTCACTTAGTTACCATGACAACTCAACAATCAAGGCGACAACACCTTTTATGTTTCACTGGTGACTTGGAGAAAATAATTTGCATTGTTGAGAAACGAAAAATAAATTTTAATAATATTTAATTTTCAACCATAATTCGGCGTGGAATTTTCTTACCGAATACCACGCGAGGTCAAATTAATATCAGGAAATTTTTTTCTCGCTCATGAATATTTTTAGAAAATTTTCATGAGGTCGAAAAAATTTCCGGAAATAATTTGACCTCTAATAGTATTACTAGTGAAAACATTCATAAAAATCTGATGTGTCCAACACATGACTTTCCTATCTAGTTATTATAGGTTTTTTCCGGTTATTTTCCTTTCGATACACAATATTCCAGAGGTCAAAATGTTCTTGACTTGGATTCAAAGAGGTAAAACAACAGGCAGTGCAGTACTACAGAAAAAATAAATAAAAATTTGAGACTCCATTTGTAATTATAATTTTATTTCTTGGTTTATATAGTTCTCAGGGTAAATTGCAAGTTCCAAAAAGCTCTCTATAGTAAAATAAAATTAATGAAAGAATAGAAAAGAAACAGAATAATTATAAATTTGATTTCATTACTTTGAAATAACAAATTAATTCTATCTATAAATTAAATTATGGACTAAAAATGGTGCATTCATTCATGATCTAAAGTTCTTAGACAGTGGGTTCTACTAAGTAGAATCCTCAAAAATAACTACAATTATTATATTCATAATAACTTAATATGTTAATTGGGAGATGGCGCAAAGATAGGGTGTCTTATTTATAAAATGGCTGTATATGATATACTAGTAATTTGCTTTCCTTTTAAAAGTTCATGCATTACTAATTATGGTAAGTAACTTCTTTGATTTGTTGCTATTATTAGTTCATGATTCAAATACTTTTTATTTCCCTGAAAAAATTAAATGTCCTGCCGTTAATGTGTTTTCTTTCAGTATTGTATCAATAGATAGACACAATAGAGGTCACCTTGGGTAAAGAAATTTATGCCAGCATAGCATAACGGCCTGAGGATGTCTTTTAGGATTCCAATCGTCTTCTTGTCCATGGGTAAGTAAATATTTATATTACACGTGGACATCAATGATTTAATTTTCCTGTTTCTTTTTATTTTAGGATTTAGGGAAAAAGGATTTCAGTGGAAAATCAGAGGAAATCAAAAACTATATCCTCCTTTCTTTACTTTTACTACCTTTTGTTTTATCAACAACTTGAAATTTTAAATTTAAATCTAGATGGATGAAAATGGACCTGACCAATCCGAATCTTGACAGTTTGGTTATATTATTAAAATTTAGTTATTGGATTTATACAGGTGAGTTTATTTAAACGGTTTATTACATAATTTTAATAATAATTTATATCTTATTAATTAAAACGTTAATTTAAAATTCATGTTGTAAATTTTTTATAAATTTGCATTTTATTATTCATAATTTATGTGTGGTCTCACTAAATTTAGTTATTTTTGATCTTGTCAAAACTACCACTATACGAGGTGTAGTCTGAAAACTTTGATGGAAACTTTTTAGTTTTAATGTTAAAAACTTTTAGTAATTATTTTGATTTTCTTGGAATTTCGTATTTCATTATAATATATAGTTATATAGATTGCTCGAAGCGGGTCGTTTTGCTAGCAGCCATATTGACTCATAAGGGCTCATTAATCAGAATGGATTTAGCAAAAATATGTTTTGAAACCAATTTTCAGCCTTTAAATATAGTAAAAAAATAATTACCTACATTTTTACTTCATGGCATAAGCTTATATTTAAAAATCATGGATGATCAATCTATACAACTATCTATATCATTGACCCTGTCAAATCACCAGACCCACAGGGTTGCCATATCATAATCTGTCATTACCCACGGGCAACCATTTTGTTTGGAATGCTTATATAATACAGTTCAATGATTCTGTATTTCTATTATGTGATTCGAAATCTCATCGTATATCGATTGTACTGGAATCGAGCTGTCAACATCAAACGATTTGTGCCATTTGTAGTCCAATTATTATAGAGTGTAGACTCTGTTTACAAAAAATGTCCGTCAAAATGTATATAATTAAGATAACGTTAGGGTACCAGAAGGACGCCGAAAGTTGTGAAAGTCGATAATTTAGAACACACAATCACACCAATGATGTCTATAGTTATATAGATAGGTCACCCACATGTATATATAATCGAGATAGAATAAAGTAGAGACGACATAAACACTGGTTTGCGATATGACAAAATGGACTAGCTTCAAGTGACGGAAAAGTGTAATCAAAATGGCGACTTGAGTCGTACTTCGATTTATTTGAAGTTAATAATTTTATATTTAAAGACTGACGGAATGAAAATAATTTTATATCATTTATATGAAGCTATTTAACGAAAAATTGCATTTATTCTCACCAAAACTGACTAGCTACACTATCTCGAGTTTGACATTGGCGTAAAAGTGTAATACAAAGGTGCGGACAATTTAGCATCGTTATAGCTTCTCCTCTTTATTATATCTCAGTGATATATGCTCGAGGGGTATAGCCTAAACGTCTGATTTACATATGGATGAGCAATCTATATAACTATATATCATTGACTATTTTCCTTTTAGTGCACGAGCACCATTCTAGTAGACACTTTCTGAAACCTTATTTACTTATTTTGGATGTACATTTTTTAAGATAAACAACCATATGAGATGTCCTTCTTTCCTTTACACTCTATAGGTCCAATATTATTATGAATCATAATTAGTGAAGTCATTCATATTCAAGACAATATCTGATTTAAAATCGCCTCTTACCTCTACACTCCATAGAATATATTCAAGAGCGCGTTCAGATGATTTTACACGGGAGTAAACTAATTTTCTTAGATCATTTGCCCAGGTTAATCTAGAGTAATTCTCATTGGCCCAAAATTTCTGAACGGCAACAAAAGTAAACGCCAACGAATTTAAAAATTAAAGTTTTTTACAGTTATTTGTTTACATACATTTTATAATGTTTGATGTTCCTCCCTTCCCGTTGTTACTCGTGTCTCGTGTAGTTTTACTTTTTACTCATTTAGTTTTATTGCTGTTTTTTTTTTATTTCAATATTTACCTATTCACAGTTCTATTTATAATCAAGATTATAATGAATGAGCTATAAAGTCAATAAGACAAGAAATTTTAGATTATTTGTTTTAAAACAATCCTAACTTTATAGAAATCTATGTATAAACACCTCTATGATACACAAAAATAATATGAAACAACTTCTGCAGAATAACTCTACGTTCTGTCTAAATTTACTCAAATTAACCCAGTCTAAACTGGGTAAAAAAGAGTTCACTCCAGACTATAGGGATGCACACGATGTATCGATGTTTTTATTAATTTTTCGGTTTCGAATGTCGTTAACATCGATGTTTTTTTATCCGATGTTATTAGTTAATATCGATGTTTTTAATTAACATCGATGTTTTTGTTAAGCGTTACGTCGTTACGTTTTAATTGATGGATTGAAATCCTTTTTGTTAAGCGTTAATTTTTCAATTGATGGTCTGAATTCCTTTTTTTTGCTCTTCAATGAAGGTTTCTGGAAAACATCAATGTTTACAGAAACATCGATGTTTAGAAAAATCGATATTTTCGTTTTCGATTTTTTTACAATATTGATAGTCTGTATTCGATGTATCATTTGATGTCAACATCGATGTTTTAAAAAATTTACGCCTACCTACTCCAGACTAACTTAAGGAATTTGACTCGACTTTCTGGAGGGCTATTTTCAAACTTGAGTGAATTCATTTCTCTCAAGAGAAATATCATACTTAAAACAGTAGTTTTAGGGCCTTAGGGCCAGTGTGAACTCACTGACTGTTTCTCTCGGTTTATTTAGAGATAATTAAAATTCTTCTAAGAATTTTAATCCTCGAGGCCTTTAAAAACCTCATTTCCACATTGATGTATGACATTTTTGATGAGAATCTTGATAGAAATGAGTGCTCCCAATTCTTTGAAAATAGGTCCCCTGAACGAGAGTAGCTAAATGTCCAAATTGAACACTCGACTGTTCTTGAACGAATCAAAACCAAATTGATCGCACTCTTTTTGGTCGGAGCCTGTTTCCTGAACGCGCTCCAAAGGGTCCAATCGATTAGTTGTGCTTATGAAGACTAGAGAGAAGATGGTGAATCGCCAATAGTAAAATTTTAAATTTCCCTCCTGTCAGATTAAAACAAGAAAACCGACAATTCCGAAGCAGAAGCGGATGATTAAAACGCACCTATTAATAATATTGCGCCAAGATGTAGGCAACACGTAATAAGGTTTCAAAATGGCGGAGTTTTCTATCTCCTTTTAAAAGGCACTCAAAAAGCTGCGCAGTGCGACCATTCTCCGTATAGTAAAAGAAAATCAAAGTATGTGGGTTAAAACGACTAAACCGACAATTTCGGAAGCAGAAGCGGATGATTAAAACGCACCTGATATTTTGTATGCTGCTGTCAGTGTCAGTGAATATTAATTTTGAAGTCACAGTTTATTGCTAAAGAATCAGTTAGCTCACTCGGGCCAGTTGAAAGTTCCAAAATAACATCCACTTCAGGGATACAAATTCAGAATACGCAGAAGACTGCTGTTTTATTATAGGCGGTTGTCATATATTGCATTATCGAGTTGCACAGTGTATAAACTGAAACATTGAGATCAAAAGTGCCGACGCAGAGTGAGCGATCTGATTTTTTAGCTGTAAACTGTGTCACAGGGTTCAAAATGGCCGCGCCCTATGTTGGGCGTGTCGGACCTCTCTCTTGCCCCGTATAGTAATCAAAGTATGTGGATGTAAGTCAATGTAAAATGAAGTTGTGATATGACGTTGATATCGATAATATCGATCTAGAACATCGACCTTGATATTAAACTGGATAGCTATATGGCATAAACCCTACTCGTAATTTCTAAGCCGACACGGATGAAAAAAACGGTCGGTTCGCATGACAATTTGGACGCCAGACTGTCAATTTCAAGCACTCTACGTCACGTTTCCCACTCGTATACTATAGATAAAGTAAAAGTTGAAAAGTCTTTTGGTAGGTAGAGAGGGGGTAAACGTCAAACCACGTCGGGCGGCTCCGAGAATTTCACAGTAATGTTTACCTGCCAGTGTCGTTTCATAGAATAAGTAATTTTAAATTGTTATCGGCGGAACCGGACAATCGCATGTATTTATGGATTATAAATAATTATTAAACATGTATTATAATATTCAAATTATAATTTTACAAAATTTCAACAGCTATTCACAATTTATTAAACTATTTACTCGAAATTGTTATTAACATCTATAAAATAATTTTGTACGCCAATGTATCGTGTCCACTTCGGTGAGATCCGCTGACAACCTGTCAAGTTATGTGTATAAAGTGGGAGAACTGGCAAAAGCATTTCCAACTTTTACTTCTGTTCTACGATAAGTTATATTATTTTTTATTAATAGCGCGCTATTTTAATAACTATTTTTTTTTTGTTTTGGTGTCATCGGCATCAACTGCTACGGCCATTAGCCTCGTGTTCTGTGTAGGCTTTGTTACTGTTTCCCAGCGCCACTTTAGGAACCGCACTGTTAATTAGAACCCAACAGTGAATGGTCGAGTGGGAATAATTATTATTTATTATTATTATTATTATTATTATTGGAACATTTGTTTCAGCTGCGTATTAATCAAAAATCATTTTTAAGCGATTTTATCAAATTAAAAGGTGTCGTAGTTGAATGTAATAAGTGTTAAATTTAATTTTGATGTTCCTTTTTAGTGCATTTCGATACGCACGTGTGGGCGCCACAGTGTCAAATATCACCTCGCTATGTGGCTTGATTTTGTTAATCGGCTTTGTTCTTCCAGTTTAATATATACCTAGTTCAGTGATCTAGAAGCCTACAACAGTCACTTGCCAACAAAAATCGTCAAAATTGACAAGCTGTTCTGTTTTTTTAAAAATTTCGGTTCTCTAAATTTCGATCAGCCAAAAAGATGACGGACTTGAAAATTTGCGAATGTAGATCGCCCGACGATCCCGATCTGTGCGCGAACCATCCCCTGTACATAGAGGCGTGCAAAAAACGTTTCAGCGAAGACGAACTAGCGACGGTTATACAAGACGAGTTGTTTTGGGGATTCGGCGTCAGGGATTTCAGAAGGAAGAAGTTTCAACTTAAAGGTGTACCACCTAAGAAGTCTCCGTACGAATTCCCTTTTGCGATATGCAGGGCTATGCAGATACCATGCAAGGTTTGTATAACTACCGTAATATGATCACTTCATACAGTTCAAAAACAGGTATAGGTAATTGCGAAGTCCTTTTCTTAAAAATACATATTTTTTTACAAAACTTACATTTTAGTCTTTAGGAGGGAGAGTATTTTTCAAATGAACCACCGAAAACCCCATAAATTAAGGTTTTTTTTTTTATTTTACATATTAAAGGCTTATGAGGATCATTAAGTGATCATTTATGTAAACTTATTCATTAGAATTTAGAATTATATCTGTCATGCGACAAATTAGTGCGACGTTGCCAAGTGTCCAATTAAAATCAACATTTCCATACTCTTTAAAAATCAGTTCTATTAATTTATTTCCGGTCACACCCGATGATTTATTTATCTATTTTGATTGAATTGTTGTAATAATTATTTTTAAATAATAATATTACGTCATTTATAAAATAATAAACAATACTTTTCGAAAACTTTAAGGTAATTTTTCGCGGCATAAACCAACATGAACGTTTATGATAGATTATGGTATTTAGATTCTCTTGTAAATTTCAAAAAACCTATAACAACGCAAATTCTAAATATAGAAAAAGAAAAAAAAGAAATGGATATGCCCGGCCATACCGAAAAAAATCACCTTAGAAGACAAATACGTAATGACGCAACAAGAATATTGCAACTATCTCGCTCAGCCCGTCATCAAACCTCGTTGCGACTATTGGAAACCTGTCAAACGAAAGAGATGCGAGATAGAACCGTGCCCTCCGAGATTCGTGCAGCTCGCCATACCGCACAAGAGACGCGTCTACTATAATTGGAAGTGCTATCATCCCGTTCTTACCACGGAAATGATACTCAGATTGGAGCAGATTTTGCATACGGACAAGAACTTGGATCCTAGAGATGCGAGGTTAGTACATATAAGAAGCAGATTTTAAAAAATAGGTGATGAAACACGGACCAATATCATTGTATAAAGAACTATAGTAGGATAATCGCCATGTAAAAGTTATTGGAGGCAATCGCGCCCGACACCTATTGGTACAATAATTGAACTAACGATTTTATTTGCTGGTCAGATACGCCCTCTACGTCAGATGTTAGAACTTTGAAAGCGACAATTCTGTCAAATTAATTGTCAATATATATTTTTTAGTTATCGAGATTAAATATATTAATTAAAAATTAGTGATTCTTGTGAAGAATTAATAAATAATAGCATTCCACAAGATATTCGTCTATATTTAAAAATAATGGTTAAATTCTACAATTTCACCAGTAAAAACATCAACAAATTAATATTTTACACCTACTAAATAAATAAACAATTCTCAAATAGTTCGACTGCTTTTTACCCTAATATAATGTGAAGTCATAAAACTATAAATAGCATTTTTCTCAGAATACCGAACGTCGAACACCTGTGTTTTCAGGTGCACAGCGGTGCATTGGAACAAAATGAGTGTCCGGCGCATAGTTAACGAAGTACAAATGACGTATTCCATTATGTCATGATGTTTTCATTGGTTGAAACCGAATAGGTGCGTCAACTATGCCCCGGACACTCATTTCATCCCAACAGTATATATTAGGGTGAGCTCGACGCGGAGCTCAGTTGTCTTATTGCCACCAACGATCAACGATTCAGTTGTGCTTTTGCCATCATCGCGTTCAGGTGCTTTCTGCCGACGGCACGTTACTTTCCACATTTTTACAAGCGTTTAATGCAGTTTATTTTCTGGTGCAAGTTATATCTTCTACAATTATTATGGCATAAGAAATTCTACAAACAAATGTTTTCAAGTTGGTAACTAAAAAATCAACTGTATTAGTTAATCAAATTGTGATGAACTAAAATTGTAAATATTTAAAAGTGTTTAGTGAAGATAAGAAAATTATTATATCTAAATGGAATCAACCACTATGTATTTACTTCAGTGAAAATAGTAAATTAAAAACACTTCTTTTTCTACTACCTATGACTCGTTAGTTATTTCTACAAAAGAACCCAATTCTTCTAACACCAGCGACATATGCTACATTTTTACCAAAGAAATATTCGGAAGTAACACCGGTATTTTTTCAAATAAATTAAGATTTTATTGAAACTAAAACCAATCTGATTATCAGCGTTAAAAAGTAAAACTTTTTCATAAGTATCGATAGCGAAAAGTTTAGAGTCCTCGCCTCTGAATCGAGAGTTTGAGAGTTCAAACCCACCACCAGGACATTTTTTTTATTAATTTTATTTTTTAAATTGGTAAAACTTATGAATTAATTTCAAAATATTAATTTTATGTTAATGACATCTAAATTTTCATGCTCAATTTTCGTCTTCGTGCGATGGCCATTCGGGATCATCAAATTATAATAAAATATGGGTCATTCTCAGTTAAGCCGTAAATTCGACGTCCATAACAAAAAATCACCTTTTTAAAAAAAATTTATTAAAAAGAATGTTATTTTCTCTTAAAACTCGTGCTCATATAATTGGTCACTCAAATTCATTTCTTAATTTTATTTAATTTAGTCACAATTTCACCTCAAAGTCGGAAAACATCTCTCCCCTGGCTTGTCCCCGGGCCGATTCTGTTTATTTATTTGTAATTTTAAGTACTTGAAAATCAAATAACTTATTTAAATTATACATTTCAACAAAATAATTTAAATAAATTATCGTAATCAAGCAAGTAAAATTGCGTGATATTTTTTTTTCTTAAAAAAAAATTACGTTTACGTTTGTCCTCCGTATTTTGCGTCTCGTCCCCTGGCACGCTTATTTTTGTGTAAAATCGGCATTTGTTTACTGACTTGCGGGAATTGAAGACCTTGAGCGAACGTTGTTGAGTGTATAGTTTGTAATCAGAGCCACTCGAACTAGGTGCGCAGTCATTTAGTCATTTATTTCGTTACTGGCACTCTGTGCATACAGTTGACAACGAGTGAACAGAGTCTCTCCCCTGGTAAGTTTTATTTTTAAAATATTCATCTAAAAATTTTAATTCATTCGTATATTGACTTCTCGTTGTGTATAGATTCTAACTTTTCTTGGTTAATTTCATACAATAAATACATTTGTCATTATTTCTATTTTTGTTACTAAAAAGTATCTCCCCTGTTTATATCTCCCCTGTCTTGTAAGGGCCAGGGGAAAGACACGATATCCAGGGGAGATATGAAAACTTTAAATTATAATTTTTTTTATTGTTTAAAGGTTAACTATTGTTATTTAATAATGTATACTCATCAGCATGTGATACTGATGATGAGCCATTATCACTTCGATTAACTAAGAAATCTACAAAGAAGAAACATCACTCAAAGCCCTCATCGTCACGAACACTACGTAGCCAAAAGCATACACGTTAAAAAAAATGAAAAAGTAGCAGTTATAATCGGTAAAAGCTAAAAATAAAGGTACTTTTAATTTTTTCTTTCTTAATAGTAAAATATATCTGTGTTATGTTTCACTCAATGTTATATTATTATTTATATTAGTATTAATATTATTTAGTTAAGAATTTCTATGATAAATTTATGAACAGTATTACTAGTACATTACATAGGCTGTTTATGAAAATGAAAAGTTTAATAATTATTAATTAATGATTAATGATTGATAATTAAAAATTTTAAAACAAATATAATTTTTTTTATTGCTGAGATTATTATTCAAATAATAACTTCTTTTTTAAAGTTAAACTGTATACTAGTATATTATGAAGGGTGTTTGAAAATTTAAAGACTAATTATTATCAATTAATTATTGATAAATAAAATTATAAAATGACTGAATAAAGTTAATACTTCAATAAAATGTTGTTTTCTTTCATAAAATAATGTTAAAATCCTTTCTCTAATCACAAAGTATTCTACTCTGTACATTAAGTCTCTCCCCTGGATGAGTATCTCCCCTGGCATCTTATAAAACGAGATAAAATCTATAAATTGACTGACCGTCTTGCAGGTACGTTTGAAATGATTCTTTTGATCGAACCATTGTAAAATTTGATTTCAATTTCAAAATTTTTGTCGTGCCGCGTTTTATCAATAAGCGATTTACGTCTCAACTGAGAATGACCCATATAAGGTTTTTTTTTAAATCTTGAGATAATGAAACTACAAATGTGTCTGTCTAAAGGAGAAATAACCGAAAATAACAAGTATATAACTTTCGCTAATAAATATTTATTAGGTATGTGTTAAAAGCAAATTACTTCATTTTGGATTTGAATATACAGTGTGTCGCAAAATGTCTGCACCAAGAAAACAAGAAATTACATTTTTCTTTATTCTACGTAAGAAGGTACGAATTAAAAAATTTTTACTGAAAATTCCACACCTGTAATTTTGAACCAATCAAAATACGTGTTTTTGACAGATCACCATGGCAACGGAGGTATTTTAGTGGAAATTTTTTTCTCGTGGGGTACCCAACAGCGAATTATACTGGAAATTTTTTGACGTTTACAATAACAGACCATTTTTGACAGACTGGTTTTTATTTGTTCACATAATAGGTTTAGTTTTGATACATTTTAGTTACAATGCTAAGGTGTTTTCTATATTCTTCGGCCACTTCTTTTCTTCTTAATGGCGAAAATGCAGGACTTTGGATGCTTTGAATTATGTGTCTATGTCTAATAAAATATATATAATATTTAGACACTAATTTATTCACCTTTTTCCCATTCAGCACTTTGAATTTTGCGTAGTTTAGGTGCAAATATTCGTGGACAATTCGGAACAAATTTTCGTTTTTCAAGTTGGAGCCACAATCCTCTATTAATCCGAGTAAGTAAGTCATGGTGCAATGATTGATCATTACATCAGACAATTTCACGCATATTTTGCATAGCGTATGATTTTCAAATCGATTCATTTTTAAACAAATAGGTAATTTTGTTGGTTTTACTTGCAGTGCAATATTCTTTATTGCAACAAAACGCGAGTTATTTAATGTTTTGAACTGTCAAAATACAATGATCACAGCCTCCTACGATTGATGCTTGCTGACGCTGGTTATGAATTTCATACCATTTTAAAGCGCTCATAACGCATGTTAATAAAAACGCAGAAAAACAATTTTCTACCACTTGTAGTTATTCAAAACTTACGTAAAATTAAAGAATATACTATTTTCTATTTTCAAATGTTATTCCCATGCAACTACAATGAGTAGAAATAAGCAATTTGAAGGCCTAAATAATTGCAGCGAAACATTTTTTTACGTCAGGCCGCTTGACAACTTCAAAACTGAAATTATATTCGAGGTGTTAGGGTCTCACTTAGTTACCATGACAACTCAACAATCAAGGCGACAACACCTTTTATGTTTCACTGATGACTTGGAGAAAATAATTTGCATTGTTGAGAAACGAAAAATAAATTTTAAAAATATTTAATTTTCAACCAACCATAATTCGGCGTGGAATTTTCTTACCGAATACCACGCGAGGTCAAATTAATATCAGGAAATAATTTGACCTCTAGTGGTATTACTAGTGAAAATTATTAGGTACCTACAGGGTTATTCATAAAAATTATAATTGCCCACCCTTTATGCCATAATTATTATTGTATAATATTTACATTGACCGAATTTTGTTAAAATGTCATCAAGAATACAATGACCATATCAGTGGCGTGCATCTTTCACGGGATACAACATGAATAATATTTCTTAATAGGGATAGTATAGATATATATTTTATTCAATTTTTGGAATGATCTTTATTCTTTTCTGATTAATTAAACGTTGAATGTCTTATAGTTTAGATAAATATTTACACTTTTTCTTCCTCACTGTAACCTACCTATTTGGATTATTTTATTATCAAACATAATAGTTGTAATTTTCATAGCTTTTACTTTAATAATGTTAACTTTTTCATAATTAAATTATCAACG